ATGCAGCAGCAATATTAATAGAGAAACATCAGACATAATAGTAAAACACTGAAAGGGAACCTTTGATTGCACCAGGAGCTATCTTGGGACTTTTACTGCGACAACGTTGACTTGCCTGTGAATACAAAATAAACCATAGTGTTGGTGATCTACAGTGTTGTCATTCTTCTTTGAACAGCAAGACCGCTAACACCCTATTTCAACAATCACACTCCCTGTCATTGACATCATTAATAGATAGTTTAGCTTCTCACTATCATTTGCTTCGTGTGGCCCACTGATGTTGACGATCGTAACTGAAAGGCTGCCTGACAAACGTAAACATTCAGCCACGTCACTTGCAAACTCTCGCTAGAGTTGTACACAACACGGATCCTTTCTAGCCATAACCAAAGTAAAGGGTCGAGCATTGCTTCGAGAACAATCTATGGTTTTCATCAATTCTGTGTAAAGTTTACCGTGTAATCTATTCTGCGACAAGTTGTATTGGTTATTATGGCTGTTGGTTTTGTTTTACGTTATGCATAAAGGCATGTTGGGATCATTAATGGGCCACATTACAAATAAATGAATCGTCTATTTTGAAAAAGAGTCATTTTCAAGAAAAATGCCAAAATGAATGTGGTTCCATGTTCAGAAATGTGAGGATTTACTGCTTCTTCAGTGTCTTTTATCATAGTAAATTACATGTGTTTTACAATTTGAACAGTTTTAACCTTGGGCTCAGGGACAGTTTTCACTATTATCGCACATAATTTTAGACATAACTAGTAATTAATATGAATTAGTAGCTAACAGGTTATTTAATTAAAAAAATAATTGCGATTTGCGTTATTGTACTTAATAATAAAGCACTTAATACAACAAAAAATAACAAACATAATATTGGTGAGAAGTAAACTTGATGCAGACCCACTCTGAAGATTTGTTTCACAGTTCTTTATATAAATCTCACAATTGATAATATTTTATTTTCTTTCGTCATCCAGGTCCTTAACAATCCTTAAACTGAGAACCCCAGACAACAGGTGACTGCAATGGAAACGTTTGTGAAAAAACGCTCCTTCATTAGTGAAGCCAGAAGTCCACAGAAGAAGATCAAACTGGAGAGTGATGAGGGGATGGAGCAGGATGAGGAAGATGAGGAGTTTTCTCATCCTGTTCCCTGGCAGAAAATAGAAGCAGAAGGACTAGACTGTGATTATGCTCTGCTGTTCTCCAAAGAAGAAGCAGACAACCTCTTTAAACAGCTGGAGGAGGAGGTGGTGTACTCAACAGGTACAATATCAAACCTTTTTCTGTAACATTAGGACGAGTTGTAGTGTACAGTTGAACGATTGTGGCTGTTTTTGTTCCAGGGGAAGAAGCTAAGGTCCAGGTGTTTGGAAAGGTGTACGATATACCAAGAAAGCAAGCCACATATGGAGATGCAGGTCTCACCTACACTTATTCAAGAGTGACACGTTTAGCCAACTCTTGGACTCCAACCTTGGAATATATACGGGATGCTGTCACTAAAACAACTGGACGAGCGTTCAACTTCGTCTTGGTCAACAGGTGACATTTTTTAATAAAAGCTGGAAAGAGACAAGTTTTAAATTTGTCCCCCTGCTAAAATCTCAATCAATTTCAAATGTTAATCTTGCACTATTGCATTGTTTGCAATCTGTTTATGTCTTCTATATTATGTTGCATTGTTGGAGGAGCCGGGACATAATATGATCATGTCCATATTTACACTGTAGCTACTGTGCATATGACAATAAAGCCTTTGAATCTTGAATTTTGAATCTTGAAACGTGTTCTTCTCGCCTCCAGGTACAAAGATGGCCAGGATCACATGGGCGAGCATCGTGATGATGAGAAGGAGCTGGACCCCCTCTGTCCCATCGCCTCCATCTCTCTGGGAGCGCCACGAGACTTTATCTTCCGGCACAGAGATGCTCGGGGGAAACAGAGCCTCAGGCAGATTGAACCCGTGAAGCTGGAGCTCGCTCACGGGAGCCTCCTCCTCATGAACTCCCCGACCAACACTTTCTGGTACCACAGCCTGCCTGTCCGCAAGAAGAGTTCCCTGCCTCGCATCAACCTCACATTTAGACGCATCGTAGTTGACAGAAAGAAATGACCAGCAGGGGGATTAGCAACCTGGCCATTGGTCCAAGAACCTTCTGACTAAGGGACAATTAAGGCTGAAAGGACAAGTCACATGCTGTTCTTGGCCACATGGACAAATAACGCTAAGCTAATATGTTTTTTTAGCTGAATCTGAGAGACTATAATGACCGCACAAGTCAGGACTGTTTACTTGGACTCTTAAGAATCAGAATATTTTTTACAGTGAACTTATTTGTGTTAAAAATGACCCAAACGTCTGACTGACTTGATTTCAAACTATCATTTCAGTAACTTGTCCTCCAGTTGTATGGTGAAGCAGCTGGCTATGTCTCCAAAGAAAGATAGAAACGTTGCCAGAGCGATGGAACACTTTCCTTATTACAAATAAAAAAAACGTATTGAAAGAGAATTACTTTGTTCGGACTCAGATTTGGATGGGTTTTAAATGTTTTTAAATTGGCTTCTGATCCATCCCTGGCAGATGTTGGCAGTTATCTGTAAATGATGAATCAGAAGATGATTTTGAGAGTCAGCATTTGGCACTAAAAAACACTTGAAATTATGCATTGTATTTCTTTTTGAGAAATGTACATCTCTACAGAGAAAATAATTAGTTTGAAATATTTGGTAACACTTGAAAGTCTTGTAGTGTTTGGGTCAAGGACAGGTCAGTAAGTGTGGGCTGATCTTCAGCATCTCTGCTGGCACACAATCTCTGACAATGATATTAATAATGATCTGAATATGTAAAAAATAAAACTCTAAATTGATTGATTGATTTTTTAATACCTGAAAACAATCACCTTTACAGATTGTACGCAAACACACACACTCACGTTAATATACATCAGTGCAAATTGCAAACATTAACAAGAGGTTCTGAACCAGGCCATTTCTCCATTTGACTGGTTTGGTAGGAGCAAATCGGCAGCTTCACGTCATTATTAATATTCAGGATAACTTGCCCAAAGACCTGATTAATACACTTTTTAGCATCAACACCAAGCAAGATGGCTTTGATGCATTATAGTGTGTTAACATCATATTTAGCACACATGGCTTAATGTGTTAAACAATAAACATATTGAACATTAAAGACAACATGGCACTTTGACCTCAACTCTGCAAATCATGACAATGTGAGGACTCTTGGATCAATAGAAACATACCAAATGCAACCTCTTGTGAAAAAAGTCCATAGAAACATTAATTCCAATAGTTTGACATACACTGCTAGCAATGATTAGGCTGATTCGTTTTTATGAGAACCACAGTTGGGGAAAGTTATACCTAATTGACATCATAATATGCAACAAATTCTAATAACGAATACTTACTTTAGCTACTTCAGTGTGAACAGGCAGTGGTTACACAATAACAGGAACATTACACAGCATCATAGAAATGCCAGAGTTCAGTAAGCGTTACACATGAACAATGATTAGCAGGGCTGTCACTTTAGAGTGCACTTGTCAAATGTTCCTGTTTTTTGTCCCACTGAAGCCAAAACGCTGCATGACAGAAACTGTAACACATGTGAAAGTATTGCATTTTGCACGATCAAAGATATTTGACAAAAAAATCCTGCAGGTCCATAATCTTTGGGATTGAGAGCATCCCGCTCTGGAGGAGGCAAAGTGTCCACTCGTGGATTTAATATCAAACCGGGGTTGATGGTTAGTCAGTGGGTTAATGTCAGTTTTTTCCTTTGGTGAGTTTGAATATTTACCTTTTGAAATAAAATCATTACTGTGGCGTTTGCTATATTATTTTTCACATGAAGTTTCAAACTGTCATGATGTTAGATGAAGAAAGATTTTTTTTTTTTTTTTCAATCTGCATATTTTAATATTCCCCAGCCCTTCCAACCCTGATTCAGAAGACACAATTCAACGATGTCCAACATGTTGCTGTGATCCATGATGTAAGAGAAACACCACGGTGACCCCAGGATGACGTTCCTCCCTGGTCTCATTGTCACAAAGTCATAACCCTCCTGACGGCCACACACACAGCGGGGACAGTTTGATGGACAGGCAGCAGTCGGTGTTACTCCTCCGAGCGCGGAGCGAGGTCCAGCCTCCGGACTCTCTCGTAGAAGAGCATGTAGGCGTTGGACGACAGCACCTCTTGGAGGCTGGCTTTTCGAACCGAGTCGTCGGACACCCAGAGCCACTGGGAGCTGAAGGGTGAGGAGGGGCGGGCTGAGCAGGGGCTGCGGCGGTACGTCACGAAGTGTCCCGAGTGCATGTCGCCGTGGTGCACCAGCACGGCCGTGAGCTGGAAAAGGTACTCTGTAGAACTGGGAGGAGAGACGCTACAATCAGAACAGATATGATGCTGCGCCGTGGAGGGCTGCCGTGTCTCGAGCTCCTCTCCAACGCTGCATGTGCACTATTTTTATCGTGTTTTCATTTGTTTTATTCATATTTATGTTGCATTGTTGTAGGAGCCTGTGTACCGTTTCTCATTGCATATCTACACTGTAGCTACTGAGCAAATGACAATAAAGCCCTTTGAACCTTTGAGATATGCAGAACGATGCATTTTAAAGGCAAAGCTTGTATAAAGACCCTTATTGCACCAATTTACTTTTTTGTATTTACTTGCACTATTTTTTTCAGTTTTTCAGTTTTATTGTGTTGCACTGTTGGAGGAGCCTGTGACTTAAGATTTTCATCGTCATAACTAAACTGTAGCTATGCACGGACGTATGACTAATAAAAGCCTTGAACGCCTTATTTCGAAAGCGTATTTCAACAACAAGGCAATTTAAAGCATTAAGACCTAGTGTAGAATAAGCAGAATATAAGGTTACATTTAAACAGTTGTTAAAATAGCAAGAGAATAGAATAGGTACAGATACAGAAAAGTATTCACTTTTGACTTAAAGTTAGTAAGGGCTGCAGCAGGCCTGCAGTTTTCTTAGAGTTTGTTCCAGATATATAAAAGCATAAAAAGTGACACTTCTTCCCTGTGTTTAGTTTTAAATAAAAACACTATGTTTCTTGTAAGTCTCTATGAGCCAACAAGAAAAACCTTGTTGCATAGATGCCAGAGGCCTGTACTACGAAGCTGGATTTTCACTTAGCGGGCTAACTTCAGGGAAAACTCGGGGTTTCAAATCCTACGACGCTGGTTCACTTTTTACCGGGCTAGATCTCCATGGTAACTTATGCTGAACGGCTAGCCTGCTCCGGAGCAGGTTAGGTTCCAGGATAAGAGATCAACTCAGTGAAAGCACTGCCTGCTGACCAATCAGAGCTCAGAGTGCAGAGTTTAAAGCGATCAAGTCATATTACAGAAGAAAGAAAATTCAGAAAAACTGCCGTTGCAGGAAAGACGGCCGGCAAAAATCAACCGACTGTGTGAACGTGAACATTAATAGAATATCACCTCCCATCTTCAGAGCAATCTGACTATTATAACATTAGCGTTAAGAAAGCTTACTTAAATATCTGCCACAACATAAGTAACCAGATCAGAGTAACATTAAGTACAGTCCGCAGCATATCACATCATAATGTATCATATATCTCCTTATCTGAGTCAGCTGAGCCGTATCTGTCCGTGCAACACTCACAGTGTCACATACTGTATGCACAAGTATTATTTTAAGCAACACATTAAGTTGACGAAACACTCGAGTCAAATGTAATTAAAGTCAGATCCACTCGTGTCTTAGACGGGGCAGTGATATCATAAACCTGTTAATGTACGCATTCAAACACTTTTTCTTTTACCAGCTGTATTCACCTTGCAGGTGCAGGTGTCCTAAGGCGAGCTCAGGGAGGACAGAAACCTCCCGTGGAACAGAAGGGCAATGTGGCTTTGATCCTGGATAAAGTCTTTAAGTCATGGATGTTTAAAGTTTAACTTCTTCATATTTGTCTAATATTATAGTTCACTTTCATTGAGGAAGTATGACGCTGCGCTGTCAGTACGCTTCTCCCAGCGCCATATAGATAGAATCTCTCTATATGGCGCTGGCTTCTCCATGTTTGTGGCCAAATGTTGCTAACCCCGCCCCTTTCATGTGAACGCGCACTCAGCCGGACAGAGAAACCCTGGTTTGAGTTACTGAGTTGATAACCCACGTCGTAGGACCGTTTAGCGAGAGCGCGTTTGTGCATACCCAGGTTAGGTTGAACCGGCTTCGTAGTACAGGCCTCTGGTCTCTGTGCTGTACAGAGGGGCTTTGATTAGCACCACAGCTCAGAATAGCTTGATATGCATTGTATTCATTGTAATGTTGCATCTTGACATTGAGGTTACCTGAAGTCATTTGTGAAGCCGTGCTGTGGGTTCAAGCCAGGAGACTGAAGAAACACAGAGGAAAATGTTCCGTTGGAAAAAGGTTTGTTATTGTTGTCCGGATGCTCTGCTCCTGGAAGACAAAAGAGAAACAAAATGCATGAAGACAAAAAAATGGATTCTGAAGCAAATGATATCAAAGAGTTCAGGAAACACACCAGTGCCGTTAGCCGAGAGCTTTTCCGTGGAATCGTCTGAACCTTCTGCCTTTTTGGGGTTCAGAGCACATTTGATCCGCTGACTTCTGTGTGTGTGAGCGTTGTGTTTGTAGCGGCCCATCGAGAGATACTCTGTAAACTGCACATGCTCCGGTCTCTTGATGGGGGAGCCTTCGTTGGACCACGTCAGCCTTTGTAAATGGATGCAGAGGCATTGGGGGAGCTAGCAGAGGGAGGAAGAAGGGAAAAAACTTCAAACATCTTTCACTAAGAAATAAAAGGGAAGTTTTGATCTACTAAATTGGGCACAAACAAGCTTTCACAGTGTATTATTAATCAGGTAATTGCATAGTGATATTAATAAAAATGACAGTCACCTTTCCCAGTTTAAGCTGTTTAACAAATGTTGTCCTCTGGCTTCCAAGAACTTCGCCATTTACTGAGGTCCCTTGTTGAAGCTGAGGGGAAATGAGACAAAATAAAAACAATTCAAACATTTGTAGGTTTTTCACAAGAGTTGCCTCGCTTTGATTCTATTCTTATTTCTTAAGTTGACTACCAGAAGTAGGCAAGACAGATACTTCAGTGTACCTTGGTGCAGTTTTCACAATCCACTTCTTTGATGGTTTCCGAAGAGATAAAATGTTGAAGACACTGATCTAGAGAGACAGGTCGACCCTGATCAAAGGATGACAAACAGAACACCAAAAATCCTTATTGAGTTGTGATACCATAATAACTTTTAGTATTAACGTGTTCCTAAAATCTTTCTTACCCACTGAGGCAAAGGGATGGACAGGGAAAGGCTCTCAAATGAGTCGTACCGCACCGGACTCTAACCAAAAGCAAAGGAGAGGAATAAATCAACAAAGAAAAAGTACAACAATCCTTTCCTGTCCGAAAAAACAGAACACCTACTTGTTGTTCGCAGCGCTTGCATGACATATTGCTTGTTAAACAACCATGAAAAGGATTCTGAGACTTCCAAGGACTTGGTATCGGATGCAGAGGGGCTGAAAAAGTCAAAAGGAATACAGATGAAATAAGTTCCAGTTTGATATTCACATCTACATCATTTCATGTTTCTTTACCTCGACTTCTGCAGGTCATAGTTTTCTCATCTTGATCAGGAATGCTCTGGTATTAAACAAACACATACACTGATTAACCAGATTGTTATTTGTGACACTCTTAAACACTGCTGCAGTTCACATACTAACATTTCACTTTTATAAGGGTGTAGGAGGCAGAATTTGGTTTGAAATGGTGCTTCCATCCATACAACCGATGCTCCAAAGTGCAAACTGATTCTCAACCTTTTATAACTGAAGGCCAACATATACCTTCCTAAACAATTGAGAAAATAAGTAATTAAACAAAAAAGGAGATCAAATAAACTGGGCTGTAAAAAGGCCTTTTGCCACCATCAGTGTTAATGATCAAAATCAATATTCTGCTAACCCTCACCCATCACTGGCAGCCATTAGGAATCCAAATGTAATGTCTTAAGGGTCACATTTCCTTTGGAGTTGGACTGGCGCTGTCTGGTCTACAAAATCCATTTTTTGTTTCATAAAACATAAAACATAAACAGTTTTATGAAACAAAAAATGGATACATAATGTGTTAGCTTTGGCATGGTGACTTTATTTCATGTTTTTTTATTTATTTGTTTTCTCTTCGGCACATTAAAACATTGATTTTTTTAATTCAACGACGTTACAATTTGTCATAACCTCCACGGCCACTAGATGGCGCTCTGAGGCCCACTGGCTGAGGGCATGGACTGTTTATATCAGTCTATGGTTATACAGTATATTAGGTGCAGCTTCTGTAGAGCATGTGAGTGCTGTTTTAAGATAATGAGAGAAACTTGCCTCGAGGGACTGCATGTCAAACAAGGGAACGATTTTCGACTGACGATCCCGCTCCTCATCCAGAGAAGACGTAAGAACATGAAAGAGCTCATGTGCATCCTGAGAGGGGACGGACAAACAAACAGACAGAAAACGGTCAATACATGAAACAATGCACCAAACATGATGTATGAAAATATCAAGGAAACACCACCTAAAAACATTATTGACTAACCTGCTCTTCAAAGGAACTGATGTGCCAGCGGTACAGTCGGAGAACATCCAGGAGGCACCCGGCATCGAGAACATCTTCTTCCCCCGGCTCGTCTCTGGACAGACCTGTCAGAGCAGTCACCATCACCATCCTCATTAGAAATATGAATGAACACCGCACGTTTACTACGCTCTGGTGACTTGTGGAACAGAAAAAACGATACAAGGACTTTAATATTATGATTCTTACTTGCTAATGTTTATCTCTTTACTGGCTTGAATGTCTTTGCTTAGCTAGAGAATTGTCCTTTTTAAGAAGATTCTTACAATGTTATTTGTTACACTCTATGTAACAGTTTGACCTATAGCTTCCTGATACTGCCTCCCTTACTGCTAGCATGCTCCTTTCATTATCAAGCTTGACCCCCCCTTTCTTCTTTCTCTGTGTTTAAACGCAAACTCTATTCTGCGTCTTTCACTCTGCAGACAGTTTGCTTTCTGACTGAACTATCATATCAAATATGACAAAGACAGCTGAATGGTTGGATTCTTTGTCCACATTGGATAAATACCACACTTGTTAAACCACAGGCTGGTTGTATATACCATTGAGTAGCTGGAGCAGTGTCGTGGACAGCTGATTGTCCTGATTGCAGGACTGGGTTGGAGGCAATCCTATTACCGTCTCCAGCCACCGGATGAAAGACGGACATGCTGCCAAACCCTGAAGCAAAGAGTTCAGGAAGCAGGTGTTGCCTAAGTTCAACACACCAGGAACCATACCTGAGGGAAAACACAGGTTGTTGTAAGTTCCTGATCTTCAACCGGTTCTCTGCATATAATCTGTGTATGAAACGTTCCCTCTGACTCTTACCTCTCTTTCTCTTCCTTCTATCTGTAATTGGGCCCCACAACACATAGACTCCAGCTGCAACCGCAGCAGCTACCCCCCCGATGACACCCCAGTTCTTTATCATTTTGTTTCTGAAAAGAAAACATTATGTTAATGACGCACAATGGATGATTTTGAATGAAGGGGATATACACAACAGGTGATAAGAATAAGTAAGGCGGGATGGTAGCAGGTAAATATAAACTTTCATACATCAGTGTTCTCGATTACGATGCAATAATGATACTGATGTGTTTTTCCAGTGCCCAACACCTGCATCTCCAAAACGATCATACATTTATGTCAACTGGCTAAAACTGTATCCACACAAAAATTCACATTTGATCAGAATTAGTTTCAGGACTTATTCATTAAACTGTTTTTAGATACAGCCGAGTATACCTAACAAACTGACAAATCAGAATATGTGTGTTGATTAAATAGTTCAGTTCACTAAGAAGTTAAAATAATAAAACATAAAACACCCTGATAAGCCGTCTGGCACTGCCGAATAGAGAGCACAAAGCAAATAGTATTTGTGATGTAATCTTATCCATAAACGTTAACCTTTGACCGTTTCTGGGTAAAAAAAACAATAAAGCAAACAAAAACAAACATTGAGCGAATAAAGATTAAAACAAAGTCAAATAAATCTTATTTAAGTAAAAGCACAAAGGTATTATCAGCTAAAAGTACTTAAACTATGAAGAGTAAAAGTCCTCTTGTTGCATCAAGTAGCATTTTACTGTTGTAGACAAACAAAGTTCTGACTTTTTGTAATATATTTGAATAATTTGACTCTTTTGTGATATAAGGGGTGGCCCCTAGTGATGCATTTTGTTAAAGGTAGCTAAAAGCTGTTATATAAAAGTAGCGAAGTAAAGTCTACTTGTACTCCACTACATTTATTTAATACCTTTAGTTACTTTGCAGATTTGGATAAATAATTTGAAATATAATCTACACTTAAATAAGACTTTAGTTTCACTTGAATTAAAACTAGCTGCACCTTTACCAGCTTTGATAACAATTTAATGCATCAATATTTATAATAAAAAAATATCATATATATCATTCTGAAATGGACCAATTTGCATAATAAGTACTACAACATGTTGATGACAATAGTTGTGTACTTTTACTTGAGTCAAATGTTGAATACAGGACTTTTACTTTCAACAGAGTATTAATTTCCTACACTCTGGTACTTCTACTTTTACTCAAGTACAATATCCGAGTACGTCTTCCACTTCAGTTTCTTCACACCTCTAAGTAGAGTACTTGAGTAAATCTATTGTTTACTTTACACCTTGCGTGTATAACTACCACTACGAAGCAGCTAACACCACCATTAGCATGCAGCAGCAGCAGAGCTAGCTTTAGGCTAACTTACCGACAACATCGAGGTTAATAGTGTGCCCTCGACTGCTCTGTTGCCTCCTTTGATACAGACCCAAAGCTACTATCTAGAAATATAAGTGACACTTCTCATTGCTGTGTTTCTCGTTAGCAGGTTTAGCAACTTAACCCGGACTCAGTGGGTGCGCATGTTTCACTTTAGGTCGAACGCGTCATGACCTGCTCAACTCCTGACCCCTTGCACTATAAATAATCTGTATGTGATGTTTCTGCCAGAGGAGAGCTTCTACCTGACGATTTGTCCAGAGCCAAGAAACTCCTTCACAAGCTTATCAGAGCTTTCAGGTCTGCACCACAACATCCTGCTGCTTTCATGGCGGAACTCCAGTTTGTGGGGCCATGTCTGGTTTCAGGAAGGACATAATGGGAGAGAGCACCGATGTGTTCACAGTTAACAGTCCGACCAGCAAAATGCGTGTTGCGCACAGGTTGCGCACATCAATGAAATCATTAGAGAACTCACCGCTGAAGAAGCGTACCGAGATGCTGAGGTGGATTGTTTCATGACACGGTTTATTCTTTAGATTTACTCTCTCTCTCAAGGAAGGGCTGGCAATATATTTCTGAAGTTGTTATGAGTCTTAATACTGTTCGAAATGTTTGAAAATAAACAACAACAGAAGTTCATAACAACATCCGGAGAATATACTTATTTTTAAATGAATGCTGTAATAAATATATATATTTTTTAAAACACGGTTGCTTAGATACCACCATAATTCCACATTCTGCCTTCACATTAATGTTTATTTGCTTTTTTGTCTAGCCTGTTGGTATTTTATTTGTTTTCTCCTCTGCATCATTTGCTCTATCTCTGGGATCTTTACTTTGAATTATTTCATTTTTTATTTTATTGTAATTTGTGTTCCAATTGTTTTAATGCAATTAAAATGCGTGTATCAAGCATTATGAATTATCTTTGTTTTAATGCAATTTCCGAAAAACAAAATGTACAAGGCCTATAAACTTCAGTTATTGTCTAAAGTACCGAGTAGGTTTTACATTACAAGAAACATACAATAGACATACTAAACAATACATAATGGGAAAGTACAAGGTCCAGAACAGGAGGAGCAATATATGAATGGTAGATGTGGAAAAGTAAACAATACATGTATTTATAGCCATAATAAAATAAGGCTACGACAAAAAGTAGGAGTCAGAATCAAGTTTGACAGGTACGTTTACATATACAAGGAATTTTTATCTGTGTTTTTAGATTATTTTTTACATTTAAACTTGGTGTAAATATTTGTCTTTATTCATTTGTAATGTTACTGTGTTTTTTATATACATTTACTTACTGACTTACTTATATTTTTGACCTTTTAAACCGTATTTTTTTATGTCGTTTATATTTGCACCACCAAAAACCAAAGCAAATTCCTTGTATTTGTAAATGTACCTGGCAAAAAATGTGATTCTGATTCTGACATTTTAGGCACATTTTATTATGGCTTTTTACTTATTGACGTCAATTCAATTCAATTCAAAACCTTTATTTATCCAGGTGAAATCCCATTGAGATCAATGATCTCTTTTTCAAGGGAAACCTGCAGCAGTAGGTTCCACATGAAGACATACAAACATAAACACGTCTACCCCTGATGTGAACTTCTTTATATAAAAAATATATGATGTTAATATATGTTCTTGAATAAATACATAAGAAAGTGTCAGATCCCCCTGGGCTCATCATCCTATCCACTCNCCCCCCCCCCCCCCCCCTTCCTGTGTCTCGCGGTGAGTCGCGCAGGGCGGCCTCTCATTGGCTGAGGCGGGCTCGCTGAGCAGGTAGCTCTCCTCGGTGCTGAAATCATTCGCAGCTCGTCGTGATAATGTAAACGGCGATGATCCCATCAGCCAGAAAACATCAAAATGGACGATGATCTGTTCCAACTGAGACAGCTGCCGTGAGTAATACTTCCATCGGAAAAACATTGGTGCCTTTGTTTGTTTTTTATTCACTCCATTTCCCACCGTGACAGCATGTTTGGCGGACGCGTCGCCCTCTGACAGCCTCGCGTCGTCTGATTAGCTCTCTGGACCACAAATAGCCTCAAATTCCTTAAAAGCAGCAGTCATTCATTTTAAAGTATTTGTGCAGTTATAATAAAAATTCATAACAAATAAATTAAAACAACTTAACATGTTCACATGCATCTAGCAGTTTGTTTCGCATTTCACTTAAGAAGACTATTTTGTTTTTGTTTATTAATACTAAGCAGTTTTGCTCTGATTTCTAAGCTAAGTTTGGTGTGAACTTAATTAATTAAGTAATTGTGTTTACTGTCATGACTCAGTGCCTTATGTGATTTATTTCTCTGCTGGAGCCTTTTACATTTAGCTAAAAGCTGGCCGTCATGAGGGACATTTCACTAGACGTGCAGTCAAATAACGATGTCTTTCCACAAAAATAACACAACATAATTAAAATGTGAATCGTTTAATGTACTTGTTTGTTAATCAAATATTTACAATTATGGATTTGGAATAAGCACAACAAAAGAAAGAAAATATATATTTCCAGGGAGTTGGATATCACTTGTATTTCATCATAAAGAACTTGAAAATGAAAATGATAGTGTTTTACAGTACAATACACACATTTCATCACACAAACTCATCTGCATCAGTGACTCCCCATTTCCAGTCCATGTCATGTGATTACAGTGATTAGGACCTCACTGCCTCTATCACAGTTCTAGTATAGTGTTTCATCCTTAATGAACCATCATTATCTGCATGCTGAAGACGATTATAGCTGTAAACAACATGCACATCTCAGTGCTGAGCAGAAAAGTGCAGAGAGCTCTCAGTTGGCCTGACATGGTTCCCCAATAGGATGGTATTACCACCCATTCACAAAATCACAGCCGGAAAAACCTCATATCACCTAGGCAACAGCCTCGTCTGCACTCAGCTTTGCCCTGGCACTCGATTTCTGACTCCCCTGATCAGGCATATTGTAGAGATGTTAAATATCCTATGCTTTTACTTTCTTTTTGTAGTGTTGTCCGCTTCCGTCGTACAGGTGAGAGCATACGCTCAGAGGATGATGGAGAGAACAGAGAACAGGTTATCAGGATCGCCGAGCAGACTGATCTGGAGTCTGTGGCTCTTACAGACGGAGCTCCGGTTCCTCGGGAGTTTGCCAATCCGACTGATGGTACAGTATGACTTCAATATACGATACAAGTTTGCACATACATACACAGACAACATACTGACACTGACGCCCTTTTGCACAAACCCCATGGCCGACATTTAAACTATACATTACAATTGTTTGTTGAAAAGCTGAATGGAAATTGGTAGAAATGACTGTTTGTATATCAGCCTTCTTGTAGGAACCCTACATCTCCTACCATAAGGTAAGAGCTGGAAGTCTGGATGGACGATGTGGGTCGGATAAGATGTGATTTTTCTTGCCTGTAAACTCATACTCACCTTCCCAAAGGAACGTGATTTAAGACAATAAATTACTTTTTAGATCTGTTTCCAATGTTACATGAACACCATCATCAGAAGAATGCAGAGAATACAAATTGTTTGATCATTCAGACGTGTGATGTCACAGACCTAACGATGTTTCCAAGATACCACATTATTACATATCATCGTCCAATGCGCTCACACTCAGGTGTACAGCTTCAGGTTCTGACAGAGGAGAATGTTTATGCTGATTTCTTGAATACCGCTTTAAATACTTCTTCATTCCCCCAGACACATTCATGGTGGAGGATGCCGTAGAGGCCATCGGCTTTGGGACCTTTCAATGGAAGCTCTCCATCCTCACTGGTCTGGCCTGGGTAAGAGCCGCTCTTTGAAAATACACGGTCACTTGCTGTCTGTGTATGTTAATACATCTTATGTGTCTCTGTGTTGTCTGCTGTTTGCTCAGATGGCCGATGCCATGGAGATGATGATCCTCTGCATCTTAGCCCCTCAGCTCCACTGTGAATGGAAGCTGTCCAGCCTCCAGGTGGCACTTCTTACATCGGTAATGGCTCTACTGTTTGTAAAGTGCTCTTGCTTGCAGGGCTATGACTGTCCTGATAGTTATTGGCTAAGTGCTTAGGGATTGCTTAAGTGCTTGTATTGAACAGTGACAACCTTGTGAAAAAGTAGGAAGTATGATGTCATTAGATGACATGCACAATTATGATTTGAATGACCATCAAAAGCATATTCACTTTTCTAAGTATTACATTGAGCACAATTACAGTAGATTTTACTTAGGGTATTGCATGAATAATCCTTTAAAGGTGCACATTTTGAAATGCCCTTATCAATTGAGATGTATTCTACAACTTTCATAAGATAATCAAGCAAGAAACACATGAAATGACTTGTTGTTGCTCACACCAGAATATAGAAAGCTACAGTACTGCCTGACAGGATGTGCATTATATCAGCTATGTGTAGTGGAATTATAGTCAATGCACGTTTATGAAACTGCAGTCCAATTAACCTTATCCTCTTTAACCCTGATGCAGGCAGTGTTTATTGGGATGATGCTCAGCTCCTCTCTTTGGGGAAACATATCTGACAAATACGGCAGAAAAACAGTAAGTTCTCATTACATCTTTGACGGAGATTCATTTATTTCTGTTTCCTGTGAGACAAACTCCATGTAGTTCATAGGAAGTTTATCATTTGGGTTCTCTGAATCAAAGAAAGTGATCATACACACTGACCGCCTAATTTATTCAGCATCTTGTTATGTTTTGATTGTACGCACACGCAGGGTCTGACGCTGAGTGTGCTGTGGACCATGTTCTATGGCGTACTGAGTGCATTTGCACCAGTCTATGGCTGGATCCTCGTCCTCCGTGCACTCGTGGGCTTTGGCATCGGAGGAGCCCCACAGTCGTTAGTAACCCTCATTCATCTCCCTAAACATATCGCTGAATTATAAATGATGTGAGTTTAGGTTGACTGTGAAATCTCCCTCCTTATAAGGGTGACACTGTATGCTGAGTTTCTGCCAATGAGGTCCAGAGCCACATGCATCTTGCTGATTGAGGTAAGAGGACTATTGAGGATTACACTTAATTAAGCAACTGTCTGTTAAGGAATCCAGTCTATGTAGCTATATATGGATATGTATCTATCTATCTATCTATCTATCTATCTATCTATCTATCTATCTATCTATCTATCTATCTATCTATCTATCTATCTATCTATCTATCTATCTATGTATCTATCTATGTATGTATCTATCTATGTATCTATCTATCTATCTATCTATGTATCTATGTATCTATCTATGTATCTATGTATCTATCTATCTATCTATCTATCTATGTATCTATCTATCCATCTATCCATCATCTCATCTATCTATCTATCTATCTATCTATCTATCTATCTATGTATCTATCGATCCATCTATAACAATAGTCTTCATTTATAGACAATAGGCATAATTTTA